AGTAGTAAGTGGTAAGTGGTAAGTAGTAAGTAGTAAGTAGTAAGTAGTAAGTAGTAAGTAGTAAGTAGTAAGTAGTAAGTAGTAAGTAGTAAGTAGTAAGTAGTCAGTAGTCAGTAGTCAGTAGTCAGTAGTCAGTAGTCAGTAGTAAGTAGTAAGTGGTAAGTGGTAAGTGGTAAGTGATAAGTGGTAAGTGGTAAGTGGTAAGTGGTAAGTGGTAAGTAGTAAGTAGTAAGTAGTAGCAATAGTAGTAGTAGTAGTAGTAGTAGTAGTAGTAGTTTTCGTGGTCGTGGTGGTCGTGGTGGTCGTGGTGGTCGTGGTAGTAGGAGTCGTAGTCGTACTCGCAGCGGAGGTGGGTGTTGGGGCGGGGGGGTTGAATGGTAAGGAGGGGGGCTGGGTGGTCACCGCCCCTAAGGCTAGAAGCTTGGACCGCGACTAGATTGAGAACTCTCAGCTTTCATCGTCACTTACGCCGATTTGCATCACGACTTGGCAGTACGGGGTCGTAGCAGCCTCTGGGCCTCGGCATCTCAAGTGGCAGCGGCAACCCGCCGATTAGCCGCCCGAGAGGTACCACCATCTACGGGATCCAGCAGAGCCGGGTCAAGGCATCACAGTCCCTGCGCTGATTCTGCCATTGTGGAATGCTTTTGATGTTCTTTGTCTTCTGTCTGGCTAGTCTTGCGTACCTTCATGCCGTTTCCCTTGTTCGGCGTGGCTTCCGAGATTGAATCGGTTGCCCAACTGGACTAGCTCGTGTTTAGATCAGTTTAGATGACAAGTGAAAGAGCTTCCCAGTCGATGATTTCAAGTCATTACAGTATGAGACTAGGCGAAAGTTCGAGAAGTCGAGAAGTGTGCTTGCTTGCTTTGTACAAGAAGTCTGAAAGTTGGGACAGTCGCAGCATCGCAGTCTGCTTAAAGCTGCATCAGCAAGCATTTTTTCGGGCATTTCTTTCCCGGGATTGAATCAGAAAGTGCATGTCATACGCTGCCCCTGATACTTGCCCTACTGAGTCGCTTCATGTTTGAATTCAAGCATTGAGCCTCCATGCAGGTTTGGAGGGCACCACATGCCAGGAGGACATAGACGAGTGCGGCCCTTACTCTGAGATGTATCTTTGCTGTTCTTGCTGCTACAGGAGCCACCCTGCATGCAGTGCTTGCTCACCTTTCTCTGATTGTGCCATTGCCCTTGATGAGCCAGCACCATTGTTGGTTTGAGCGTCTCATTTTTCGGTCTGTCACGGGCTGCAACTTTCGGAGCAAAGCGCAGATTTTTACTAGTGTTACTGGTGCTCCGATGTTTCTACTTTCCCAAAACTCTGGGTACTCGTCGCGCATAGAGAGCTAGGCTCCAATCAGCCATTGCAGGAGCATGCGAAGAAACAAGGGGCATGCCACAGACCACAGATAGACAGGCTGCGATGGAAAGCTGAAGATTTGCCATGATTTGCTAAGGATCTGTGAACTGTTGGCAGAGCAGTTGCCGGTAGCGCACGACGAGGCCGACCCATTTGAGCAGACGCAGTGTTGGCATGACGATCAACCATCTTGTTCGTTCCCCGAATATCCGTGACAAGAGAGGCCAAAGCAATCAGAGCCAGAGTATTGCAAGGTCCTGGCGCTTTGCATCGAGGTCTTCCTATCCCTGAGAGCTGTTCATGCGAAGGAACAGGAGCCCCAGCTTTGAAGCATGTGATTTAGGAGGGAGGGTGAGTTGGAAACGGAAGTCATGCATGCTGCGGTCATTGCCTTGCCAGGCAGCTGAGGCGTCCAGGCCTGAAAATGTGTGCTTGGATGGTGTTGTGCTTCATGGCAGCGGCATGTTGAATGCAATCGTGAAAGGATTGCGAGCATTCAGCCGGAGTGTCTTTACTTGCTTCGCCTCGCCAGGGTCAAAGGATGCAGTGGAAAGACGGGTCGTAATGCCCCCCCCCCCCCCCGCCAAGCTTTCTTATGTTGTGCATGCCTTGAGGTGCAACTCCTGCGACTTCGCGAACCTCGGCTTCCAGACTTCGTGGCAGATTTGGAGGTCCCACATATTGAAGCATGTGGGACCCTTGTGATGACCTTGAACAGCGCGGGACGAAGCCGTTTGCTCAACAGCAGAGCTTGGCAGATTGAAAGTAGATAAAAAGCCTTAGGCTGGGATATGCCCTTGGCGGAAGAAAGTCTAGTAGCTGTCGTGTCTTCATTGTCAGCATGGGGAAGAAAGCATGTGTTGCGGGTTGCTTCGCTTGGCAACTAAACACCGCTTAGATTCTAGGGAGCCGATGTGCGATCAGCTTTGCGGAAGCTTGCGCTGAAGGGTCCAGCAGCCGCTCTCATGCAGATCCAAGGAGTGAAGAGGGCTACGATTACGGATATTAAGGACGCTCTGTTCTGACTGCTGGTGAGGCTTAAAATGCAAAGCTGCCAAACGGTTAGCTCGTCTTCGAATTGTCTTCTTTAGCTCAGGCCATGGAAGTACACATTGCTGAGCTGGAGAGCAAGCTCGCGCAAGCACGTGTCGAGGCTCTTGAGAAGGCCGTTTCGTTTGCAGTCATTCTGCTGCAGGTTCTGTGACTGCTCTTTCGTGACGGCCGGCATGAAACCTCAGGAGCTAGCAGCAGCACGAGCCCGACATGTGGCCCAATCGCGTGCCCAGGCGTGGACGGGCGAAGCATCAGCCTTGGTTAACTCTCGTGTGCTCTCGAAGCAGGGGCTGACCCAATTTGCTGATGACGCCCTTCAAGCAGTGCCTGCCTGTCTCGAACCAGTGGCACCACCAACATCACCGGAATCCCCGGCCTGTGCCAGCGAGGGATCCCATCAGGTTGTGCCATTAGTGGACATGGCACCAGCCCTACAAGCTCCTGAGACACCCTCCGTGCCATTGCCAACACCGGCGAAACGGCAGCGCACTGCAGAGGCTTTGGTCGAGGATCCATGTCAATCCGGGCCACGCATTTCATTAGACCAGACGCCGAAAGCATCGATTGCTCGTGGAAGTTCCGAAGCGGTCGTTGTGCTTTCCGGCGATGGAGCATCATCATCAAAGGGTGATCAGAAGGCACGGGACCAGTTTGTACGGTGCGACACAGCTCGGCTCTTCAAGCCTGGGGGTTGCAGGATCCGAAGACGCAGCAGCTTGTGGAGATGGGCTTTTCCCGACGGAGTGTTGAGCTGGCCCTGCAGCAGAACAGAGGCTGAGAGTGGAGTCCTGTCCAGAAGTGGGGTCCGCAGCGCGGATTGTGTTCTGGCAGGATCTGCAGAGCTTGCAGTGGGCCAGCTACTGAAGGAACTCGAGGCCTGCAGCGTGCTGGTCGAAGCTACTGATGTCCAGTGTGGCACTTGTGCAGGCCATGTCTCCCCTGGAGCACATGCAGGCTGCCAACAAAGCAATTGGTGTCGGGTGCATGCCGAGACAGGGTTGAGCCTGCAGATGCCGCACATGAAGGTAGATGCTGCAATGGCCATTGATGAATTGAAGCTTTTTGAAGCTTTCGCTTGTCACATTGGCTTTGTCGCAGTCGATGGGCTTCGATGTCAGTGCTGCAGCTGATGCGCTGCAAAAACATGGCAGGATAGGTGCCGCAGTGCAGGACCGGTGCATGTGACGTGGTTTTGTGGGTGTTTGTGCTTCGGTGCCAGGAGCTCGTTGTAGGCCGAAGCCAGAGCCAGGCACTGGGCCTGGTTGTTTTTAACACTTTTGCCAGCAGGATCCTGGTGCAGGCAAAATAGGTATCTTCACATATCCAGAAAGTGCTTCCAGGGCTGCGCAGTCCATCTGCCTTGCGGGAGATCTTCCATCTCGGAGCACGTTCGTAAACAGCACAGAGAGCCCTGCGGGAGGCTTCCGGTCCGTTGCCAGAGACGACTGCTGAGAAAGGCCGGGACATTCGTGCAATATTTTTTCTGTCGCCTATGTCGGCACCTGGTTCAGGACGTGAGCCCGAAGCCTCGCAGTCAGAGGCTCCAAGCGGAATATGTGTGGGAAGACAAACCCTCGGAAGCTATCCAGGGTGCTGCAAAGCGTGCTCGATGTGATCCGGGTGCATACCCCAGAAGCATCCGTGCCATCGTTCGGTTCTTTCGTGTTCTTTCCATTTGGGTCGTGGAATGCTGGTCGGCTGGTCGCAGAGGTGAGATCAGTGCAGAGGGGGAACGTGTGTTGGAGCTGCTGCTGCCAAACAAGTTCTTGGATCCGGAATCTCATGCAGGGAAAGAGGCAGGGAGCGCAGGGCCAGTCTTGTGCCTGCATAAGTAGGAGTGTTTGACTGGTAGCAATATGGATCCTCAATTGCTGCGGAGTCTACAGAGGCCACCGAGAAGAAGGTTGAGCACAGCGAGGCAAGGGCTGCACGGCCACTGGTAACCCAGCTCTTTCGCAGGTGCTTCACCAACTCTTTAAGTCTTCATACGTGGCTAGCGCCAGAAGCACTAGAAGCTGCTTTGGCGTTTCTGTGAAGGCAACGTGCAGCAAAGGGACCCTAGAAGCAATATGCCACACCTTGCTGCGAAGGGGGGGCCCTGACTGCAAACGAGCTATGGCGGATAAGTCAGTAGGTAGGCAGGTAGGTTCAGCCTGTGTTTCGCGTGCTGTCTTTGGCGTGAGTCCATGCCCAAGTTAAAGTAGAGATCCCCAGCCAGGCGACAGCTGCAACTTGCGCAGATGCAGGGAAGCGTCCAAAATCCAAGGCAAGTATGGGTAGGTCGTGCTTTTTTCCTGGATTGAAAATTTAACCGCGTCTCGTTCTGTGAGGCCAAGCCGAAGTCGAAGCAAGAACCGGCTCCCAAGAAGAAGGTCGGCTGCAACAGTGAACTCTGTGGCTCCAAGTGGCTCCCCGCCTCTGGGTCACAGGCACAGCTGAAGGGAAGCATAGCCGCCGTCTTTGAGGTTCGAGCTGCAAACGGACATAGTGTACATGATGGGTTGCTACTTCGCAGTGGCCGATCACCAGCTTCCGTTTGCCATGGCATTGGCTTATGTGGAGCGTTTCCTGTCCATGAGTCCTGTCCCATTACGTCCGAGGGGAGTATGTTGACGACCGAGAGAACGATCCGCACAAAGCCTTCCATGTCACCCACAGAAGACAATGTGTGCATCACCCTTGCCCAGGCAGGCAGCATTTGTGCAGAACAAGACAAACTTAGAGTCATCGCCATGTGGCATTGAATAAACCTGCTCAGCAACGTTTGTGTGAGAGGCTACCATATCTCCAGACAGCAGGGTGGTGGAAGAGGGAAAATGTGCAGCCGCCGTGGGCTTACAAGGTATTCGTTGTTATTTGTGGGTTGACTGTGAACGGCGCACGCATCCCCTGGAAGCTCCAGGCAGATGACGAGGCAGAGGTGGTTAGGGTATTCAAGGCAGGCAGGCGTCGTTCCTGCATGTTTGAGATTCGTATCGCTTTCATTGCACAGCCGGACGCTGCCAGGGCAAAAATTCGGAAAGTTCTTGGATGCTTTCGGCTGGCTACATCTCATCATGAGGAGCTCTTGCAACAAGCATAGCAATTCACAAGGCAGCTTCAGGTTCGTGATGCCAGCGTCTCGAGGAATGCAAATGCTCAGATGCGGCGCGATCTGCAAGCGGCCAAGCTCAGGCAAGAGGAGCCCTGTATGGCTTCGTGTCACTGCTTTAGAAACAGCACCTTGAGCCTGACAGGCTGCCGGCAGTGCTGGATGCTCTCGTTGGCTGCGTGGATTGGGCAGCTTGGCATTTTCAGAGGCACAGAGCCGCTGCGCGTTTCCTGTGGTATCCAGGCTGACCAGAATTCCGTCAAGCAGTTGGCACAGAAGCTGTATCTTGGCAAAACTTGTTCCTTAAGATGGAAGTCGCACATGTCGAGATGACTTCAGCATACTTTATGCAGGCAGGACTTGCAAGAAAGATGGAAGGGTCGCTTCCTCACTACCGCGTGGCTTCCTTCAGCCGGCCAGTAACAGCACCCTGGCATGTCATCGCTTGACTGGCTGGCCAAGATGGACGACGCCAAACGAAAATCGAGCACCACGCGTGCTTGCTGGAGCTCCGTTCGGGGAACAGGTCCAGAGAAGGCAGCACAGGCCCTTTATGCAGTTGGCACGTGATCTCTGCGAGATCCGCCATCAGCTTTGTTGGAGGTATCGAAACGTTGTGGACAACGGGGCGCCTGCAGAGCCACTTCGCAGAAGCCTGCGAGACACAGGTCGGAGCGCGGTTCGCGCAGAGATGCGCAGATGTTTGGCAGATGCCGTAGCAGAGCCCATGCTTGTGCCGCGCCAAACTCGCTGTGGCGCTTGGCTCGTCAGGAGATTCTCTTGGATCTGGTAAAGCATTTTCCGAATCTTCTGAACGAGACTGATGGGGAAGCACCTCCCGAACTCGTGAAGTACTCCACAGGTGTGGGAGCCTGTGTGTTCACTTGGTTTCCGGAGGGGGGGGTGATGTCAGGAGCATCTGCTACGGTGCAGACCGTCATAGTGGTTGATAATATGCCAGCAACTTGGTTCTCGCATCCATGTATTGCTCTTGCGGGGCTTCGGTCGGTGCAGCACAACCACGGTAACCACAGGTGGTCGAACATAATGATGATGCGGGGTCAGATGCGGCAGGGCCGGGAGGTCGAAAAGCGAGTTCCATTAAGCTGCCTGGCAGCAGTTTGTGGCATGGGCCTGGCTTGGCCTGGACGCCGTGGAGCCGTTGTGGATCCCAGGTGTGGACTTGAAGCCGCTCTTCTTGCTGCTTCTCCGTGAAATCCACTCTGATTCTCTGAGCGCAGTGTCATTGTCGGCGAATGCACCTTGCTGTCGCAATTCACTGCAATTGGACAGATTGCGCAGTCAGGAATGGCCTACTTTTCGCAAGGATGCAAAGCTGTTGCTCAAGATTCAAAGCGTCAGGATCTGCGTGTTGGATAATGCGAGTTCCACTCCGCTTTGGTCGGTCGTCTCTTCCGAAGCAGGAACACCGGTGGGTGGGTGGCGCACCCAAAGACGAGAAGGACGGGACGGCAGCAGGGGATTGATGCCTGCTGATCAAGTGTTGCGGTAGCTCTGCAACCTCAC